TGGCTATCGCGCTTTAGCCCTGTGCTGGTTTCAATTTCCATCCATTTCACAATATGCTCACGACCCTAAATAAGATGAGGTGACAGTCTATCATTAACAAAGATTCACGGTGGGTAGATTGTCTGTTGTTTAAAAAAAAAGAATCAAGGACCTAGGCAAATATCTCTTGCAAACAAGTACAAATTTGACTTCAATCTGATTCATAAAAATCAATAAAACCACTTACACTTATGCAAAATCTCCTGTTAGTGTGTTTTTGAAACTATTTGGAGGCGACCTGCCCAAAATAAAAATAGAAAAACACAAAGACATACATGTCCCACCTTTAGAATAAGAGATGCCGGAGGAAATTGTAATGGATTGTTTCCAGTGTAAAGCTCAACAAGAGAGTCCATTTTTCCGATGCGTAAAGGCAGTTGCTTTAGCCGGTTACAGGACAGATCAAGTGTATGCAGAGAAAGACGACATAGTTCTACGTGGGTTTAATTCAGAAAAATCCGTTTATGACCATGTACACACCTGATGGAAAGCATTCGAGAAAGTTTTGACGAAGATTCAAGACACGCAACATCTTAAGTAGCGCAATGTCAGGGGGGATGCTCCTCAAGAAATTGCAGCTAACGTCCTAAAACTAGCTTTATGAGGTGTAAAAAAAATTATAGGAAAAAACTGACCAGCTCTGAAAGGGTTGAAGAAAGCTGCCGAATTTCTCGAGGAATGGAGTCGAGACGATTTCCAGTCAAAAGCACGATCTCCAAGGGCAACTCGAATAAGCTCAGCGGTAGCTGGACAATTTTATTGTTGCTAAAGGTTTAGAAGATCAGAAGTGATAGAAAAAGATTGTCGGTTCGAGAGATAAACAACATCTTTATATCGATCTATCAAGTAAGGGGTAGACTGCATTTTAGAATACTTACCTCAGATCCAACACAGTTAGTGAGCGCAGAAAAATGATGTTCAACGGAACGCTTCTTAGAACGTTTCCACGAAGACGAAGTGACTCCAGAGAACGCGATTCGCAGACACAAGTTGGAACGTCACTCAATCTGTTGCCACTGAGATCTGAAAAGGGATGCAACTTAGCGTGCTCTTCATGCATGAACAAGCAGCAATTAAACTTTTAAAAAACACGAACTTTCATGGTCATGCTTAACAAAAATTGCAGCTACGAGCAAGAGGGCAAGAATATCAACATTAGAAAGGGGAAAGTACTACATGGTAGAAAGCCCACCTAAGGATATGAGATCAGAGAGATCATATTTACTAGCCAGTTCGTTTGGAAATTCTTTCATTTTTCTGCTAGAGAGGTTAAGAGCACCACATAATTCTGCTTCTTCAAACACCTTCTCCATGGATCCTGCAAATTCTCTGCTCAAAAAATAAATAAAGTATACTCTTATAAAAAGACCTTATGCTGCATGAATACTAGATATTTCAAACGCATACCTTCATATGTAGAAGTGAATCCCAATTCAGCAGTGCTCTGTAGCCACTCACAGGTTCTGTTTTTGGGTACAGAACGACG